TAACAAGAGAAAAAGGTGAGAGATTTTTATCCCGGATTGGTGTTCGAAACATTGCCTCTTTCACTGCGCTTTCTAGCGGTTCTTGGGTTTCTTAAGTTTTTTTTTATGCAAAATTCAAAAACACGCACCATGTATTCTAACATACCCCAAAAAAGCCAAAAATAAGCATTTTTAATTTTTTTTGGCCAGTTTAGGGTTTCGATACGGTGGTGCCACTATGCTCCAGCATCGGCTTTGCCGCCCACGGTGGCATCTCCTCTCGGTCTCGTCGTTTTCAGCTGATTTTGGCCGATTTTATATAAAAACCTGCAAAAAATAAGGTTAAGTGGCCTTTGTTGGCCAAAAAAGGGAAAATTGAAGCTTTATCGACGGGATGGATGTCTCGATGCAGCGGCTCTGCCGTTTATCTCTTACTTTTGGGGCTTCTCTTTGGTCGACTTGCACCAGAAAAGGATTAGGAATACGATGGTAGAAAAATCAAAGGGAACGAAAAATGAAAAATGGCTCATCGGAATAGTTTTTGGGTCGTGGTCACGGTGACTCAGCTGAGCTTTGCTCTTGATTTTCGGCTTCTCTTTTAGCTTTTAGGCTTCGATATAGGCGTGGGGAGGTTCGAAATCGAATTTCGAATGAAAAGGGAAGAAAAACTTACTTCTCTAATGTCAACGGTGGCTCTGGTACGACGGCGATGATTGTCGATTTTCTTTCTAGTCACCCTCATTTTTCTTCTCTGGCAAGGACATGTGTGGATAGAGTTATAGTTTCATGGGATGCGATATTTAAATTCCCTTCCTGCATTAATCTGGGTCGTCTGTGTAGGAACACGTGACCATCTCCCATTCGTTGGATTGCTCTTAATTGGAGAATAAATTTGGACCGTACGTTCGGATTAAATCTGACCGTTAGATTGCGCCTGAAGAGAGAATAAATCAGGGTTGTCTGTGCGCACATGAGGAGATCTGAGCTATTGGATCTCATGTGGCTTTTTACGTGGACACGTGTCCACATGTCTACCACGTGGCGCACGACGATCGGACGCACTGCTGACAGGGCAGTCCACGTGGCCAAATTTTATATTATTTTCACTTTACCTCAGTTTTTTAGATTTTTTTTAAATATGTCATTTTTATTTCTATTTCGACACTGATTTTGAAATATTTCGAATGCATTCAAAATACATTTTTTTTTAAAAATTCA